AGGTAGGTTTTACGCCTCGCTCGAACGGCTTTCTCCCATTCCAAGCAATGTACGTATGTATACATATATCTTTTAAGCAAAATGACAAATGAAGCTTGTCCAGCGCTTTGTCGCGAGAAACGCATGTGGATATACGACATATGTACGTCTGTGTAGGACGAATATCGCAAAAGACAACAAAAACGAGGCCTGCCTCCAAGAGGCGTCATTATATGTATATGCCATATACCTATATTATGTATCGCCGAGTCGTTGCAGTGTGCAGATAAATAATCACCGATTCACGTACGCGCTGAGTCTGCAGTTTCTAAACGAGTCTCGTTTTCTTTCTCGCTCGTGCCAATATTGTTAATTTGCGAGGCTTGCGTCTTTTTTGCCTCGCTCGCTTCGTATTATATATCTTCTTTTTTTTCGAGAGAGAGAGAAAGAGACAGAGGGAGAAAAATCACGACACACACGCGATCGTGTGTCTACTGCACTTTCCCGTGCAAACGCCAACTTGTAAAGTTAAATACATACTGCAGGAGCCGTTGAAGCTACATTAATTCCTCATCGTATCAATGTTGATCTATTCCATTCGTATGATAAATCTGGGTTTTTATTGTCGACACGCGTAGCAAAGCATCGAATTTATTAATATGAATTTCGCTCAAACATGTATGCAACTTCAAAGGTGAAGCCGTGCGGTGATCTAGATACGCTTTGAGGAAAAATCATTCTGCGGTAGCAGCTTTCAATGGAAGCTGCTTTCCGATGCGTTTTCCTCCGACGTGTGCGTCAGCTTGAACTATATACGTGGAGAGAAAATCGAATTTTATAGAGGAATAAGTAATATATATTCGAATTCTTGCGCTCGAAGGTAATAAATCAATACTCCTCGGGAGATGCGGAGTCGCTATAAGCTCGTGCTCGTACTTTTCGTGAGTACGAGTCTGCGAAAATCTTCCATTCTTTTATGCGCCCGCAGCCGAGATCGGGTGCATGCGTGCTCGTGTTTGCATAGGAAGAAGTGCGCCGCGCAGGAGGCTTCCTTGGAGAAACCCATCGACACGCGCTCGACGCGCTAAAGGTTAAGGGCACAGGATGTGAATCGCGTAATATGTAAAGGTGCTACGGGTCTCTCTTTCTCTCTCTCTCTTTCTCTTCCGGAGAGGATATATTCCAAGAGGAGGACTCCTTTTCCACAAAGCGTCCGTGTCCGCTGATTTACAGTGTTGGTAAAGGGGGGGCGTCCGCCTCAACCAACGCAGACCGGAAACGAGCGAGCGCGCCCGCGGAACGAACACATTATACACTACAACGTGCTCGATGCATTCTTTTCTCGCTCGGCTTGCTCGCTCGCCGATGTTGTTGTACCTACTCTGCTCCCTGTTAGTTGCTGCTAGTTGCTGCTTTTTGTACCTTAGATATATTGTTCTGCTTTTTGTAAGCTTTTTAGCGTTAAATCGATCTAGACTACACACGTAAACTCGTTGTTTCTTTTTTATTCGGAAAAGCGTTTATTTAGCAGCCTTTTATGTATTTGTATATAAAAACTGTGCGCTTTTTCATTGTGTTTTTTTGCAAATCGTTGTTTTCGAAGGAACGAGCTTTTATATACAAATATTTTATGCGAGCAGCAAAAAGTCACGCCGCGTTAGACAGAGCTGCTAAAGCGCAAAGGAGATCATCTCCGATTTCGCAAACCACGTCGCTCTTCCCATAATGTGACCTCAACTCGAGCACACAGCACAAACACACACGAACTCGTATATAACGCGTAATATGCACACAAAAAATTGAGCCTCACTCCTTTTGTCCCCCTTTTTTTGCCGGTGCGCTCGTTCTCTCACCTCTCGCGCGCGAGACATTCTTTTTCGCTTCCTCGTGCACTCGTCCTCGCGCCGCGCCGGAGTCGTCCATTTCTTTTTCCCATCGGTCATGGGAATATGTGTGTTACATCAGCGAGCGACGATTGCCACTGCACAAGGGCCCATAACTGTACACTGCCAACTGCACTGTACACTGCAGTCCTTTGGAACGTGGGTAATGATTTTTTGCCCGGTCCCGAGCGCACCCGACTTTGATACAATTAACTTTTTTGCACGAGTGGTGTATAACTGTCTCTCAGTTTTGCGAATTGTCGAGCTGTGTCGCACTGCGTAGGTTAACCCATCGGCCTTGCGTCGTTCCAAAAGTCATTCAATGCTAATGAACTCAGATTCGATACTTGGACACGCAGGCAGAGTTGCAAATTCGCTGTACTTATGCGTTGCGTATATAATCATCTTAATAATTATCTTCATAAGGCCAACTTTATGACACTGATTAGAATCTCATTCATATTCAATGCTTTGCATAGAAAGTCCACATAAACTTCCATCAACGAGCTTACATCGATAACAACATCAGAATAAAATGATAAAAAATTGAAAAAAAGGTAAATTTTTCGCTTCGTAAAACTCGTTATGCATCAAGATTTATTCGCTCAAATCAACTTTCTATGCTAGCTATCTACATCCTACATGTGAAATTGCTTTTTTAAAGTTCAAGCTCACTTTTTTGTCCATTTTTCGTGAGCCGAGCGATCTTAAAATCCAATCAAATGTGCTTCTCGCACTTTCCCTCATGTCATGTATCGTAGCGAGAAAGACTGTCATTTTCATCGATTTCAATCAAAGCTCGTTTGACGTCGAATATTACATTGAGAATTTAAGGCGCAAGCGATAAAAGCCGCGGGAGAAAATTCAATGATCCAGAGCTCGAGACTCAATTGTGGATGACCGTAAGGTCGAGGGATGAGTAGGCATGTTCGATATGGGTTTTCACTAGAAAGCAGCTTCGAGTCGGCCAATTGTTGACCTGGCGTACCGCAGCGTCCATGGAAATATGATTAAAATCCTTGCAAAGCGAAAAAGTTTGTGTAGGCGTAGAACAAGGGCTGCCTGCAATGTGACCTTTCATTTATAATTTAACTTTTTGCACTGAAATGAAAACTGCAATGTATTATACAAGAAGCGTAATATAGACGCAAATATTTAGAAGGATCCAATCACTGGAATCGAGCGACTATCCGCAGTCCTTGATAGAAAAAGGGGTAAACTTGTAACAAAATAGCAGCAACGAGTCGACGAGAAAGAATAGAAAAATATTGCACAAAGGACGAGTGCGTGGCAGGCAGGTGATACGCTATAGCATTAGGCGCACGAAAAGAAGAAAAGTTGCAAGAGTGCTGGTGAGTCGTGCGGTGCACGCGAACACGTATAAGTATATAATAAGTACGAGACGAGGAGGCCGTATAGAAGCGAGTCGACCACGAAATGACATCCGTTCCTGTATGTAGCCGCACGAGTCCGGCGAGAGGCGTTTCCTTTGCGATAAAAAAAACCGCCTCTCTCGCTCTTTTTACTTTTTACCAGCATATTTTTCTCCCTTTTCTCGGGCTCTTTGGCCATCATACCTTTTTCCCTCTTTGATTCGCTGTGCATTGTGTACTCTCTGACGACGACGACGACGACTTCATTACTCGTGCGGCGCGAGGAGGCCAATTGCGCGCGAAACTGTGCCACGACACATGTGCCGCTATCGAGGAGAATATATATTACAAAACCACTCGAAAGTATCTTCGATCGGACATCCGTTTCGTCGGCACTCGCAGCATCCGCGCATTCATTATACCCACCTACGATCTCTCCGGCTCTCAGACACGATGAAACCTTCTCACGATCGTTTACCGGAAAATAAGCCGGGGTCTCTCTTTGTTCAAGCCTCTACGTACTGCATCAACTTCACTTTCCACGCGTATTGTATATAGGGTGAGCCTGTGTACATGCACACGCGCCGCCGCCACCACCACCACCACCACCACTGCCGCGATCGCATGTGGGCATGGAATAATCCTACGCAGGTGCTGCTCTTTTCTGCTCGAGGGATGAAATTAAAGAGCAAAGAATATACACATGTACATAACTGTGGGCCGGCTTTTGTTGTTGTTGTTTGTACGGGCTGACATAAAAAGGGACGATTTTTTCATATGTGCGCAGCAAGAGTCTCCAATGACACATGGACGAAAGACATAACGCAGAAATGAGCCACAGCAAGGCAGGGCCTTTATCGTCCGATTAGGATTTATCAGAATCGTACGCCAAACGAAGAGCTCACGTTCACATGGTTATTACATTATAATATATACATTGGGACAGACACGAACAGTCATCGAGATGCCCTCATGTGCAAAGGCAGCTGCTGTCGCTTGGTAGCAGTCCGTCGTCGATTTACATATGAACGAAAAATAAGAGCGCCGGACGTGCGCGACTGCAGTTGGCCGGTAAAAGAGCAGCGAGGAAAATCCGATCACGTTTACGCCGAGTATAGAGTGGAATTTGAAAATTTTTCAAAAAAAACTACTCGAAAGGATGGAATTTGGGTCAACGAACGTCAAAGCATTTGGTGCATTGGTATTGTATGCTATCAGGGTCGTCGCGAGCTCACGCGATCTGCACGCAACTAATTAAGCGTTTCCCGATCGTTACTCGCGTAGGCGTGTGTCCGTATGCGTGTGTATTGCAGCTGTAGCGAGCATTAACGCGAGTTTGCAAAAGCTTAAACGATATCGATGGCTGCACGTTTGTTATCGATATACGGGGCGCTACCGCTTCTATACGCCACGCGAAGAAAAACATAAATATTTATTTCGGAATCTCGTGACTCCGAAAATTCTCAGCTCCGTGCGAGCTGTACATTGGAGCGTGGAACGAGCCAGCTCGAAAATGTGTACACTCGCCGAGAGTCTATATAGGAGAGAACCCCTCCAGATCGCAGTGTCGGAGCTATATATATGTATGTATAGAGGTGGCTACGGCCGCGCGCTCACATCCACATGTACTCGAGTACATGCACGCGGAGCCATACACTCACACAGCCAGCGGGAATATGCGAGACGCGCCGGCACTGGGTAGTAGCAGCAACACAGCACAGAGAGCGGCTGCTCGGCACATAACCGTCAGTCGCGCTTCGCTCGAGCCAACGTCCGTACACACGAGCTAGCTGCTGCTTCTGATGCGGCGTGCATTCGGTGCAGTGCAGTTCTCGTATTATGATTTTTTACGGCGACGGTGACGTTTGTTTATTTACGAGTGCGTCAGTCGTGGTGGGACCGTGTCCGAGCGCGATGAATTATTGGCCCTCGAGGCACGGCGCGTCCAGCCCGCTCTAGCTCGCTTCTACTCAACGAATCGTCTTTGAAAACGATCTTGACTGCTGCCTCTCGTCGATCGCGATTCGGCGTCTCGATCCTTCGACGCTCGCTGCACCGCTCGAGTCGATTGTCGTTGCAACTTATACTGCGAGTGCTTGTAGAGCTGTGCGACGTTAGTATCGAACGATATTACAAAAAGTGAAAGATTCGGATTAACGATTCGATTGTGTCGTGGGTGCATGTGTCAGTGCATGTGTAGGAGAAAACACACACTTTATCGTAGTGCTAGAAAGCCGCTGCGCGCATCTTCTGCGTATATGTGTGTGCGTTACAAACACGTACGATAGAACGACGACGCTTGACCGTGTCTCTCTCGCTCGTGTGTGCTCGCGTGTGTATATATCTTTGTGTGCGTCCGCGTGCGCGCTTGTGTCTGTGTGTGGGAATAAACCGGTTCTTCGGAGAGTTCCTACATCGCTCTGTGCAGCCGCGCGCTGCGCATATTCGCTTCGAACGAAAATTTTGGTTCTTCGTACCGAGTATCTTTTCGTGCCTACACATTAATCTAAATATACATAAGCGGCAGGCAAACTCTTACTTTTGCTCTCGTACGAGGAAAAGAAAGAGCGAAAAGGAGAAAAAAACGAGAGACAATAAGAGAACGTCGGTAATTAGCCCGAGAGACGACATATCATGATGGGAGTACTGAGATGGAGGCATGACCTCAGGTCGGAAGCCAGCCAGCAACAACGGAGTAGCGGCAGCGCGCCGAGCAACGCCAGCTCCAGCGCCGCTGCCGCCGCCACTGCTGCTGGCTCTGCCTCCACTAATAATCATAATAATGCTCTGCCAAAGTTGCTCTCTCAGGTGAGAAAAAAATATATCTTACCGACTATGATCAATGGCCTAGACACAAAGGTATTACTCGATACACATTACCTCCATAGTTGTTGTTTTTTATTTTGACTTGAATTTACTGCTGTTGCTACTGCTGCTGGAGTGGTGCTGGAGTTCTGCGCAATCATAAACTTCTTTACACCTATTTTAATTAATGCTCAGCAGAAAGAGAGAGAGAGAGAGAGAGAGAGAGAGAGCTCAGTCACTTCTTTATTGTCTTGCGAAGCTGGCGTTGTTGCTATCTTCCTCGACTATGTCTGTGCGTGTGTGTATGTATGTTGAAAGAATCTTTCATCTTTTTCTGTGCGTGTAATCTCAGCCGTATATACATGCCCCCCTCATATACTATACATTACTATTGTATCTACTAATTTTTCCTTTTCTTCTCACGGTGCACAAGTATAATAATACCCGTTCGCGCCTTTCACCTTGTGCTTTAACGGCCTATTCGCACTTGAGGCTTTCAAAAAATCGATATACCGATCGGTAATAAGTTTGCGGCTTTTCCCCCCCCTTTTTCTAGCCAATCGATGAAATGGACAGATCAGCCTTTTAAATGAACGTCGCTTCCGTGTTGACGCGAAATCCGTGCGTGTCACATCTTTGCCAAGATAAGAGATGTGAAAATTTTCGTTTCTTCGGAATTCAGTTTTGTCTTCTCGCTGGCCAAATAAAGCATTACGTACCCACAAGAGTGCAAACAAAAAATTTCTCTTTCGACACGAAGGAGACAAAGAGAAGAGGAAAAAAAGCGAATTAGACCGACTCACTTTCGTCCCCTCTAATGCTAACTAGTCGCCTATTGAGTCTTTTTGCAGGTGCAGACGGTACACGCGCGCGACTTGTACACTTTACAAATGTTCGCGAATAATGAAAGCGATTTTTCAGCGTTGACCTCGGACGCCGTATTTTTTTTTCTTCATGCCTTCAAATGCGAGACGCTTTACAGAGCCTGATGGGAATTGATACATTCATGGGAGGTATTGTGTGAGAAAGTTCCGGGAGATTTACGATCGTCGTACATCTCGAATCGCACACCTCTCGAGCTTCGCAGTCTAAGGCGCGTAAAATTGCCCGTACTCCGAGCGGCTTGCTACTACATAAGCTGCTGCGCATTCCAAAATCGGTGAATCCGCGCGCATGGCTCTAATAATAAGCCGAGTTGACACTCTGCACGCCCCGCTATGCATCTATGTATATCTACGTGGTTTCGGCCCGAGTTCGCGCGCGATCAACGTCTCTTTATTATAAACATTATGTAAAAGAGCTCGAAGCACAATGAGGCGCGCAAGTGCGGATGTTATTCGACGCTCTAGAAGCGTTGATCATCCTCGCAAGATTTTATACTCCTTTTTTTTCGCAATGGGCATTATTCATCGTGTCGTAAGTGCCTGGCGCACACAATAAAGGAAATTATTTTTAATAAATACTTGCGCCGCTTGTGCGCGTGTATATTATGTACAGCGCAGTGGGTCGAGGCAGCAAAAAGCCCGTATTTTAGAAATAAGATAGGCTTTGAATCCTCGCGCAGGCTTAATACGATCCCCTTGACTCATCTACTCGACGACGTCTTTTAAACATATGTGCTGTATCTTTATGCGACTCCAGCAAAAGACGTTATTATTATACATGTGCCGCGCGTCTTTCTTTTTTCCTTATATGTTTCTGCGCGTGTGCGCACACGTACGCATATTAGAAAAAAAAAGGAGACTCGGAATTGAATGTTTGACCTCGATAGGGATCAAGAGCGATGTAAAGAAAGAAGCAAAAACGTAGAGCAGAAGCGATCGCGAGAAGAGAACTTTTCCGATTTCTAGCCTTTTTTAAATCACTGTTTGTATACATCGCCGATAAGATAATTATGTTTTTCGAGTGGATGAGTGTGGAGGAATTTTAAATAGAGAGGCGTGAAAACGGTTGCAAGAATAACCACTGTACGAGCTCTTGTAAATCATTTCCCTGCGACTCGAATACGTACTTCTCACTCGAGAGCGAAACACCGCGGTACGCTACGCGAGTTTTGAACTGAAGGAGATTGAAAATTTAGAGAGAAAAAAACTTGAGCAACTTTCAAGGATTCACGATTAATCATCCATTCGACGACAGACTTTTTTTATAACGACGACTATTGTATGAAATTTTCTCCAAATCCTTGAGAAAAAAATCCCAGCTCGTCTCCATGTTATTATGGATCCCTATACGGCTTTTCATTATAAATATCATAGGCTCGTGTTCACGGACGATAAATAAGCGAGCAAAAAAAGCGCAAAGCGCATGCGAATTGTTTTCGTTATATACGTAATTGTTACAACTACGGCCTCTAAACTATTTCTCTGCTGGCGGCGGCAGCGTACGAGCGAGGCTCTGTCGCTGAGTATATGTACATAAAGTATATATAATTAAGCCGCGATCGGTACAGCACTGCAATGTAATACACTTTTGTTGCTGGAACGAGAAAACATGCTTTTTTATATTTGCACCATCATGGTTTACAATGACTCGATATAATCTCCTTTTCTCCGTCGATTATTTACGCTTACGTAAGGTAGATCTGTGAAAAATCGCGCTCCCTGCCAACAAAAAAAATAGTTCTCAGCGATCCACCACGATGTAGGAACATAAGAGTAGGCATATACCATATACTTACCAGGTGTGCGGGGCGAGCAGCTGCTCTTTCGAAATAACCCCTATGGCGCCTGTTGACCTGTCTCTCTCTCTCTCTCTCTCTCTCTCTCTCTCTCTCTCTCTCTCGGTGTGTGAATCGGTTTAGGGTCCGACTGCAGTAGCGACCATTACACGAGCCAGTTCGATCAAAGTATCGGTGCTTTAATATTTTTCTGGGAAGCATTTATTTGAGACATATTATTCGATACTTGGTAGGCTGCAGTGCATAAACAAAGGACTCGCGACACACGGACTCGATTTATCATAAAGACGGGACAAATACAAAAGCTTCGCGCGGACTTTTCAACGAAACGATACCCGACGACAAAAGTCGCTTTCCTGGCTGGTTAGTTATTCATTTATTGAACAAATCGAGAGTACAGAGATAGCCCCCGCGAGTGCGTCATCGTATGTAGCTGCATTATATTCGGACCGAGATTCAGCGATCGTGATTATTATTGACTGCGCGCGATGAGCTTTCAATTGCTTTATCAATTAGCGACTCGTGTGTCGCTTATCTCGTACGTATTTATACGATCGATCGACGAGAGACGAGTGGATTAAACAGAGAAAAAGAAAAGGAAGCAAACAAATAAACGTGGCCGTTCGTGACTCTTTTCTCGTGCAAAGTACGCCATCGGAATTTCAACAATATAGCAGAAATTTCGCGCGTATAAACTTTCATCGTAATCGTTGAGTGCGCGATATAATGCAGCTGGCGCCAATCGATGTAAAGTCCGCACGCGAGTAGAAAGGTTAAACAAATAATGTAATTAAATCTGCACTTTGAGTTTGTTTAACCCGAGCGAACGATTGCATCAATTTTGCGTGCGATATCGCGTTCCACGATAGAGAGAAAACCCAAGAGCTAGAAGAAGCGGCGCTGTATGAATGAGCACGCTTGAAACTAGATCAGGTGGATTCTCGCATAAATCACTTCCTCTCTCACGCGCGCCGCATATATTGTAAAAGAAATACCAATTTTAATCATATCCAGTATTATACCACAATTGGGTCGTGCGTATACAATAGCCTGCTCTGCCAGGGATCAAGGAATTTTGCAGCTTAATCGAATAAATAAGTGGCAGCACTTGATATTGCCTTCGTTTTTACATTTCTGAAACTCTGCGCTCCTAGGGTCTGTTCAAATTTAATTATTTCGTCGCTGATTTATTTGCGATGACTCACTGATCGCGATCATTCCGATTATTTTTGCCTGAAATCTAATGTTTAATTATAATTTATAATATCGTCGATGATAAAAAGTACTTTTAGCGATGATTTCGCTCAACAATTATCCATCCTTATACCGTAGCTTTCCATCTGTTAAAAGGAAAACTTTCACTGGTGCTTATATTAATAGCTTCTGAATGTGTGCAATTGGTTCGATTTTTTCTCTAATAATTAACACGTATTACTGACCTGATTTCAGCTCACGTTTAGGCTTAATAAAATTCTTAACAATCGTGTATTACTTTTTTTTTCATAAAACATAACCAATACATATTTTCGCTTGTACATATGACTTGTGGAAAGCGTGCAAAACTTTAATGAGGGACTGGTTTTATAAATTGGAGCTGTATTGCTTTAAAAATCTAAATCTTGACGCAGATTTGTAAATAATTCGTTGTACTCGATTTTTTTTCATTTTGCACTGCTTGATCAAATCAACACTGGGCTATTTTTATACGTCATCTTGATTAAATCGTCTTAGAGAAAAATACGTTTTTTGCGGGCCCACTTTGCGATCGACGTTTGTGCGTGTCGCAGAAGCGTCAGTCATCGTCAAGTACGACAATGCCATCTTTTGCTTCAACAACTTATTCCTCGCGGTCTGAATTATTCATTCGCGTGATCGCTGAAAAAAAAGAACAAGTGAAGTGTAAGAAGTACGACTTGATTCATAAATTTTCTTCTTTTATAGGGTTAGGACTTATTCGTATACCTACGAATCGAAAGTTTTACTTTATGCAAGCTTTTTTTTATCGCAATACAGATTGATCATTTAATACGTTTATGTGACGAAAGCAAAAAATGGTCTTAATGACATTTCTTTTATTTTTGTGTTACAGGTGAGCTCACGTGATTCGACCATAGTCACGCGTTCGAAAGCAACTAGCAACGTAAGTACATTCATCACGAACAAAAAAATATACATATATGACATCTCTTTCTCTCTGTTACATTATAAAAACATTTGAACATTAATCAAACGAATGAATATGCATTAGAGCCAAGATCTATCATAATGCGAGTTACGATGTCGTGTACTTTTATTAATATCTCGCTAGTGTTAATTAGCATCGGCTATTTTCACGAGTGTATAATGTGCGTTGCTTCTAATTTTAGATTCTGCACTGCAAACTAAAAAAAATTACAAATTTTTATGTTCGCGAGGCTACACTTTTATACAAGTGTGGTTAAAAATAAAAGTAGAGTGTTTATTCATCATATGATTAAAAGCTTGATATTTTTATGTACTCTGTGTGCAGATTTATGCACGCTGTGGGCGCGAGCTGACTCGAGTTACAGCTTTCATGTGTGCATGTATGTACATTCTCATTTTGTAAAGATGATATTTTCATACGTATTCATAGGTTGGAGAGTGACTTTTTAAATAAAACATGTACAGCCAGATCCGACTTCCCGAGAGCGAGTAAAAAAGGAAGAAGCGCATTTCTTGGAAAATATTCTTCTCAGTCCTTTTTGGTGTTCATTACAAGCTTTAGTTGACTCCTTGTAAAACTATACAATCTTTCTTTACGAATCGATCTCGGAATAGTAGGTCGACATTTTCGTCCATATCCAAGCTGCGCAACGTATTCATACGTGTGAGTGAGTGTGTGTGTGTGTGTGTGTGTGTGTACACGTCAACGCATATGTACTTCATTCCATCACGTCAACTGCAGCTTCGATTTGCAATTGCACACCCACGAATTTGCATAACTCGATTGGTAAAAGCTCCGAGGCTCGCGCGAGAAAATCTCTACGTCTGTTACACTTTATACATTACGTACATCTAGTACAAGTCCGAGTTTAACAGAAATTTCGTTTTTTCCAGATGCATTTCAAATGCAGTTATTTGCTTTTCGATGAATTTTCGGACTTTTCAACGAGTACAGATAACGCCAGGGTTTTTCGAATTTTTCACTCCCTTATCACACTGCAAAATGTGACGCGTCGTTAGCCTGGATACATCGATAATATCCAAATGCGTCGAAAGACCTTCTGCGCAAAAATACATTTATACACACGCAAGAAAAACTTGACAGCGAAACTCTATATAGATCCACGTGATCGCGAACAAATTAAATTTTTTTATATCCAACTGTCGAGAAACTGTAAATTTTACCAAAGCTCGGGTTTATTTACATCGTAGCTCTTCGGACTTGGTTCGAGGAATTGAGCTATTACAAAAGCTAAGTATAACAGACTCTTAGGCGGGTAATTTAGTCAGTGCATTACTCAGAGCGGTTATAAAGAAAGATTGCGTTATTAAAGTTATAAGCTGAAATTTTTGAGATTAAATAGAAATGTATACAGTAAGATATATATTGTATGATGAGATCGTTGAGAATATGCATCTTGTTCTCGCTCGCTAGCTCGTCTAGGAAGTTTGCAATTTTACATGCAGGCAAATTCATATCGTTATTTTTTAACGATGGTCATCGTATTTCAAGCAAAAAGATTTTATATCGCTTCTTGCGTATAGAGTAGGTAATCATTTTCTCATAGAAGAAAGAAAAAACTGAAGATGCTCATTTTTCCATAAATTGTCTTGTTGTTTGTTTATAAAAGCAGCCCAAAACAGTCCATTAAAATATTCATTTTTCCCTTGACTTTTCTGCTCTCTATGTGCTCGGGAGTAAAAAAGAGCAAAGGCTGCTTCTCGGAAGCCAATTGCTCGCCGAGACGAGAACCATTGCGCAGGAAAATACGTGTGTGCATGAGCGCGGGTGGCGCACACACACACCTTCGCAGCTCACAATGCAATTTTCTGGTATAAAGAACGCGTCGGACATATAGCACAAGAGAGAACGTGAAAAAAGGAGCGTTTACCCGCGTGCGCGCGTGCGCTCGTCTGCGCAGGGTTTCTTTCTTTGCATTTATGCACGCATGGTCGCATTGTGCCGTACGTTCTCTCTTATATGCTCGAATTTAATGTACACTCGCTTGATTTTCCTCCCTTTTTTCCTCGCTCAATTTTTTTTGTCAGCTGCGCTAAATCTCGTAAATGTATGGCCGATCGTAAAATGTTTGCTTTTTTCTTGTTTCAGGTGAGCGCCAACAAAAGTTCCAATGTCATTCCACTCGCATACGCAGTAAGTTTTTTTTCTAATCACGCACGTTGCTTTATATAAACGTAAAAATAAAAAAATCAGCCTGATGCCATAAATAGACGGCAAGAGTTGTAATATTAAGTTTATGCATGCTATAAAGAGTCGAGGAATTTTGAAGGAAAAACGGTACATTCACCCTGTCGGCTCGTGCGCGGCACAGGAAACATCCCCTGTTTATGAATGAATTATCACGTATACGTGTAGCTGCATGCGCGTCGCGACGTTGGCGTACAAAGCGCCGTCGTCGTCGACGTCGAGGGAGGGCCCCGCGCGGGCGCGTTATTAACGCTGCAGACTCGCGCAGGACTGAGGATGTCTATACAGCCTGCACGATTATATGTGCGACGACGGCGGCAACAGCGACGAGTTTAACGAACGCAGTTGTAATTTCTTTTTCAGAGGGGTAGTGATCGCTCGTGCAAAAAACTTGGCTGGTTATTTTTTTTTCGCTTTTCATTTTCATTTTATTTTTCAACTACATGAAAGAGTGCGCGACGTTGTAAGTTGAATGACCGTCTGCTCGTGCATTTTTCTTCCCTAGTTTCATAATTCGGCTCTAGGATTTTTCAAGCACAGCTCGTTTATTCGATTTCCAAGGCACGCGTGTGCATTTATTGTCCTTACTCCACACTCGAGACATAAACGCTCATGCGCATACAAACATAAAAAGCCCGTCCAACGTTGGAGTTGCGAAACAATCGAATGAGCCAGAGAGAGGCGAGAGGGAGAGGAAATCGTTGTTTTCAAATCGAAATACGATAGAAGTTCGAGCCTCACGTTTAATTCGATACGGTCGAGCGCGCACTCGTGACTTTTTTACGGATGGCAGCCGAGACACAATATTGTAATACACAAAACGAACTTTGCACACACGTATAAATATATTATATATGATCGTTGGCTTTCTCCATTCATTGGCCACGACCTCTTTCGGTGAAATATTTTTTTCTTTGTCAACGTTATCTCGAGCACATCCGTCTATATCGCAAAATCGTTACATCATGCTCACCTGCGCAGAAATTACATAAAAAAAATAATACACGTACGAACGAGAGCTGGTCCGATATGAGTCGGTTTCAATTCCGCGGCCATAATCGAGAAAAATATCGTTGAAATTAAAAACGAGCTCGTGCGAGCAGCATGAATCATCCTCGCGAGCTGCATCATTCGAGCTGGCGAGCTCGCTGTATATGCGTTACCCTTGACAGGTTTCTACGTGCTTAGGGTTTCGCGGAGCGAGCCTGACGCGCGCCGAGCAGCGCATATATAATTACACGTGCGCAAACGCACGTTCTGGCACGAAATACATGTAAAGTGCATTCGCATAAACGCAAGCAACTCGGGTAATTAATATTATACGAGCTAGTCAAGACGTCAATGTCCGGTCGATGAAAATCCGGGAGGAAAATTACCTTTCGGACAATCAAGATAAACAGTCTCGCGCGCTTCGGGTCTCGGACGTGCAGCGAGAAAAGTTTCCAATTTGGCTTGGTTCCACACTGGCAAAAAGCGAAATTAGAACGCATCGCTCACGCTCGGATGATTTTATCATCCGTTTGCGCACACGTTCAATCAGACGCTTTACGATCCTTCCTCGTTTTTTCCTTTTTTTTCACTTTTTCTATTTATACTCTCAAAGTTCACGTGGAAATTTAGCTTTCGCCACACAACACAAAACTTTCCCTTTAAGGCTAATATTTCACTTGGAAAAATTCAATTCAGATACTGGTGCAACTATACGGTATAGGAAAAAGGGTCTTGTCTAGACAAAACGGTCTTCCCCTCTGAAAAAATATAGTTGCGCGTATATTCCTTCTGGCTTCTATGTACACACACATGCACACATCTACGTAGAGCGATGACTCACTTCGACAATTTCTTTTCTCCCGGAACATCGAGACGCTCGAGTCGCGCAGAATATCCATTTTTCCCTCTGACTTGGCAAGAACTGGTTTATCTTTGTGGCGTGCATTATGTATGGAAAGGGCGTGATTTTCGGTCGTCAAGCAGTAGCGCGTCACGAAATATTACCGTGTACTTTGCTTTGTTCTCCTTTCGGAGATTTTCAATGCTCTAAGATAGTTGGCCGATAACGCCATATAATACCAATTATTTCGAAGGCTTTGTCTATGCGATGATGCGAACTCAACTGGCACGAGGCCAAAAATTACAAAAACTCGAATAGCTGATTGAATCAATCAAACCTTGCTCTCAACCCTTTTCAACAAGTCCGACAATCGAGTGATTATGAGGAAGAATTAGCTCGTCACGATAGTTTCGCATCCGGCGTGATCGATCGAAATACCACACTTGCTTGGTTTTCGTGTAATGTACATCCGCAAATTACGAGGCGACTAGGCCGAAAAATCTTGCATGTACGCGTTGTTAATGTACAGTTTGGTGCCGCGGGTATATATGTACTATTTGCTTTCCGTGTTATACACCTCAGGCTTTTAGCGCTCACCACCACCAACGGTATGCTAACGGAGCGAAAGTTCGAACTTCGGGGTCAACCGTATGCCTCGGTGTATGTATATGTGAAAGGTAACACGTATACCTTAAAGTAAGAGGCCAGTTACACTCGGGCTCAAATACGTTCTGCATAGACATTCGTGCAAAGTTCCAGAAAGGATTTTTTAACTTTAATTCTCCTTGGCGACGATATTAATTTACCATGCAGTAGTTTGCGCAGTCATTGTCTCGCTTGGTAAAAACGGCAGTCTCTTACTTTTGTTAATTGATGCAGCCAGGCGCATTTAGTTTGAAAATTCCATAATGAAAATAAGAAAGAAAGAGATATAAATCTGTGTGCAGGCTTGGCAAGTGCGCGATTATTAAACGATTCCGAGTCTTACATAATTAAGCATCTCAGCGCGACTCGCGCTAATCAAAACGGGGGCCTCAATTTTCGATTCAATTAAAGCCGCGCTGCACTGTTTACCTCGTCCGCGCCGCCAAGCTTTTTTCACGAAATTCTTTTGCTCGAGTGTAAACGCCTATACACTGTAACGTTATGAGAGCGGCATGTTAATGCGCTCTGTTGGGCTTTGAACGACCGAAATAGCGTAATGTATATAAGCTAGCGTCTTTGTCAAGAGTCGCTTAAAAATCTCTCTCTCTCTCTCTTTGCTCGCGCGCGCGAGTAAACGCTTCGCGACGCTGGGGCATTTTTATTCGATGTCATTACCGCGACTGCAAAGTGCTGTCTTTAAAAATTAGACGACAATGACCCCATATGAATATTATTATTATCATTTTTTTTCGTTCCTTCGCTTATAAGCTGTACATATTGTCTGTGCAGCTCGAGCCTTTGAGCTTTTAGAGAGTACTTGGATTTTGCGTCCTTTCAAATATAGCCAAAAATAAAATAATTTTTTTTTGCTTCCTTCTCCTCCTCCAACTCTTCTTTCTTCTTCTTCTGGGGTCTCCCCCGTTCTGTAGGCGCGTTGGCAAGCGCCCAAAACGTCTCCGAACAATTTCCCCAGAAAACGCCCCATCGTGCGACGCGCTCTCTTTTATATAAAAGCTCCGCTACCCAACTCGAGTATATTTCTGGCTCTTGAAATTCTTTTTCTTCGACATTTTGCTTACGCGCAAAAAATTGCAAACACATACACAAACACAAACACAGCCGTACACATACATGCACACAAACGATTATAGTGGCGTTTTTAACAAACGCAACACGTGCCAAGCGACGAGACAGAAGAAGAGGAAAAAGGCAACGATAGGCTATGACGCTCGCTCGCGATCGTCTCTCTTGTGCTGTGCGCGGCAGATACGTGATCGCAAAGCTTATTATTGTATAGTATCGTCGATTTCGGATCGTTTTCTGCAGCAGCTAGCTGTGCTTTTTACAGCTTACTCGAAATTTTCAGAGTTGTTTTAACCCACACACACTGGCGCTGGTCTATAAATAACTCTCGCGAGCCTCCTTCTCCAACGCGCCCGATGTATAATTTATTCGTCGAGTCCGAAGTGCCATACATGCGTCTGTGTGTGTGTTCGTGTGCAGGAGACACAATATGTGCTAATATAATACGACGCACATAAGCGTGTGCGCCTCGAGCCATGCAGCACACATATACGCACACTCGTTTCCTGCCATTATGTTGGTCTCTCTCCGTCTCTCTCAGCTTCAGAAGAGTGAGATAGAGAGAGAAAGAGGCAAGGGGAAAAAAAACAAAAGTCGTGTATTTTTGACCTATTGTCATCCGCTGTCACTCGAGGATAAGCCATCCGTTCGTAAGGACAACGGCGCGTTTCAAGGATACACGCAGACGTCACATTCATCCTTATTTTTTGTCGTACCCATCGGAATTTCAGATATAATTTTAAAACTTTATTCCCACCTGGATGGCGATGTGCAGGAAGATTGCGCGCATGGCCTGACTCATTTCGATAATGCACAAGCGCGGGAAACGTATCTAACGAAATGAAAGAAGATGTAAGCGCGCGAGTGCACAGAGGGGCGCGGTATTATAGCCAGCCGCGCACACATGTACACCCGTGACCTTAATCGAAATGTAAATACACGCAGCGACAGCGTATCATGGCGTGGGTGGCTGCAAGTGTCATCGCTGCTTCTATAACGAGCGCGTCAAATGTGTGCGTTCGAGTGTCATCTCGTGGCTTCGTTCCGAGAACATCATCGGGTTACACGAGGCAGCTCCTCGTTAATTGTAATTACGACGATGAGTCCTCGTCGTCGTAGTCGTCGTCGCTGGCCGAAAAAAAATTGTTGCCCCTGCACCGTGAAACCCTAGATTTTAATTTCAAATTTTTTTCTAAAGAAAATATGCTCGCGGCTTTTTACCGTTTATATAGCGCAATAAGACGTCGTCGCTCGTCGTCGCGCAACTTCTCATAGCGGACTTTCTTGACTTCTATTCATTAGAAACTCTCGACTGCTACTGCTGCAGCTCGTGCGATGTATAAGGTGTATGCCGCATGTGATATATATGCACATAACGCGGAAAGTAGCGCGCATAAATAACCTACATTCCGAAACTACACTCGGCAACAAAATTATCGCAACAAAAAAATTCATCGAAATTTTGTCGATTTTCAAATGCTTCTATCTTGGGCTAGATTTATCGTATCGACACGCTTTTTTTTTAATTTCTTGGAAATTTTGTCCCCTTTAAATCCATATAAATTAAGATAAGATTCGAGTTAATGTTGAGTTACCAGTAGTATTTGAGCGTGACCCTAAAAATTACTGAAAAAAAATGACTGTTTGAACGTGTACCAGTACCACAGTGATTTTTTTATCGAAATCTAACATACACCATCGCAAAGTGCTCTTTTCAACGAGTAATTTAAAAAAAAAAAAGACCTCTCTACGATTTTTTTAACGCCCTGTAGGTCGATTTGAAGGTACGGTTTATGTACGCATAATGCCCAGAAAATCGTCTTGATTTCAAGTAAACGGGGGATTTTACGTACTTTAAATGGTATCTTCAAATCGACCTACAGGGCGTTAAAAAAATCGTAGAGAGGTCTTTTTTTTTTTAAATTACTCGTTGAAAAGAGCACTTTGCGATGGTGTATGTTGGATTTCGATAAAAAAATCACTGTGGTACTGGTACACGTTCAAACAGTCATTTTTTTTTCAGTAATTTTTAGGGTCACGCTCAAATACTACTGGTAACTCAACATTAACTCAAATCTTATCTTAATTTATATGGATTTAAAGAGGACAAAATTTCCAAGAAATTAAAAAAAAAAGCGTGTCGATACGATAAATCTAGCCCAAGATAGAAGCATTTGAAAATCGACAAAATTTCGATGAATTTTTTTGTTGCGATAATTTTGTTGCCGAGTGTATATGTCTTTGGAAGAAAAAGAAAAAAAAAGCATCAGCACTTGCATTTTGTCTGTATATAATAATGTACAGCAGGTTAATTGTGTAGAGCAGGTTCATAGGCAAGTAACTTTGTAAAATGTATGTATAGTTATAAATTCCGAATGTCGCGCACGTGGGAGGCAAGTATCATTTATGCAACGAAGGCGAGCTCGTCGCTCGACTATATAGAAATTTATTGAAACGGATCGTATAAGCTTACGCACGCCCGGCCGGTCGATTATTATCGTCGTTAGAAAATATTGTTCACCGATTACGAAATTAACGCGTCAGCCAGCCAATGAGCATAATTCAATAGGAGCGATATTTTACGGGACAAAAAAATGGATCAATTATAGCTCCTAACAATATCGATCGTCGAGCGCGCGCCTCTATTATGGATTAATAGCTGTAACAAATGTGTGTAAACTCGATTTACGTAATGATGGTCTATATGCACACGGGAACTGTTGGTGTTGCTGCATAATAGCCATTACTCATAATGAGCGAAGCAGAGCACGGAGACAACAATTTCTCACGTATGGACGTTGGAAAAATTTATCCCGGGAATATGATGCTAGCTCGTTTTTTTTCCATTATACATTACGTCAGGTTTGATTTTGCATTCCGAAACCAGACGCGGACTATGTCAATGCGAAACTCAAGAGAGCCTCTAGAGAATAGGAAAACTTCAACCTCGTCCTGCTCTTGTACTTCTATTATCATCATCATCATGGACCCCAGCGTGCTCGCGCGCGCGTACAGAGAGCAGCGCGACTACGTGGTGAGACTGACGATTGCCGATCTATATTAATAGCGCGTATATAGCTTGGCTATATAACGTACCTACACCGCGAACTTTGTAGCTTGTTTTCTTGTTCCAAGGTTATAGCTTAGCCGCGATCACGGCTCGTTGAGGAAATATTTTTTTTAGAAAACACACACGAGCGTATAACTTTATTTAGCTTCTCTCGGGTCGCATGTGTTTGCCTTTATTTTTCGTGTGTCTTATAGCGAGCTTCGTTGCGGGTGCTCCCCTCCTTTTTCGTATATCCACTATCGAGGCAATTTCGTGCCAAAGCAGATCGGGAAAAGAAAGGAGAACGATTGATCTTGAAATGGACGAGAAAATGAGATTAGGTCGGGCCGTTTGTACTTGCGCCGATGATAAACTCGTTCGACCGGAGAAAATCGCAAAAAATATCGAGCCGAGAACATTTGCAATGAGCAATGATTTAGCCTCGGCTCGATCAATGATTTTTTTTATGATTTCATTTCAAAGAAAATCTTCAATTATAATCTTTCTCCAGAGAATAGCTCCTCAGAATTTTCCTTCTAAAATATATACTATGCAAAATATCTAGAGCTTTCTATATTACATTTGATATACTATGGGAAAAATGCATGCAGATAAATGTATTGCAATAGTTTATTTTTTTCAATTTTTTTTTTCTAATGAAACTTGCTCAAGGTTTAGAAAGTTGTAACTGTTACTCGTATATTTGCAGATAAGAAAATTTGAGTGAAAATGAAATTATAATAAAAAATGTTATCAACTACGAGATTTAAATTTTCAATTTATGCCCGGGAAGAAATATGATGAACGAAGTTTAAAATACTGAAATACCTGTAAGACATTTTTTACGCTTCAGCCAATAAAAGAGTCAGTTTGAAAAAAAGTCGTTAAATTCAAGCGTCGATCTATAACACCAGCATGCAAAATGATTTCAAAATAATCCTGCGGAGTTTCGGTATACAAAAAGTATTCGTCGCATACATTAAACGATACGCTCCGACGTATGACGCACTCCGGGAGCATATGGTAAATTCGTTAGCAATTTTTTGCCGAGCAGGTGTCTGTACACAGTAGCTCTATGTGCCGGAAGGAACACCTGCGAGCACGCCACCCCTCTTTCCGTTTTATTTTTTTCTTTTTCTCTCTCTCTCTCTCTCTCTCTCTCTCTCCTCTCCTATCCTATTCTATATATTTGCATACGAAAGAATACGCAGGAGCTCGCGTAAGCTCAATAAAATACGAAAATAATACGGACGAATAACGACCGGATTGATACGACGGTCCTCGCTACATTTTATGGAGTTTTGCTCATTTTTAGCCATACAGTCGAGCCGAAAACGTGACGTTCCGCCCAAAAAAGGGCATTGACGCGCCGTATATAAAAGATCCCGTAATCATTGACACTCAACTGGTAGCGCTATTATCACAAAGACAGACGCATATATACAGTTATTCTTAACATGGTCGGTAGCTTTCATTGCCCCAGAGAAGAATACGAGCGGAGAAATAAACACTGCGCACTCGTCATAGCAGCAATTGCAGAAAACTGTTATACTCCACTTGAATCAAGTTTTTACATCCTCTCGACGGCTTTTTTATTTTTACTACTCGCGCTCGATATTTTTATATACAACATAAACGCATGAATACCTGCTGTGAGCCAAAGAGTCGTTTTACGGCCTTTGCAGCTATCATATATACATCGAACTTGAGACGTTCTTTTTAGAATATCGATTAAACAGATTTTCTTTTACATTTCCACAGACGTCTCGGGACGAGCGCAACAGCATTCCTGGCTCTCAGCAGCAAACGCAGCCATCGACGTGCACACCGACGCCGGTGCCGTCGCCGATCGGTGAGTCACCGGTGGGCCGTGCCCTGATGGACGCGGCCCTGCAGCAGTCCCTGGCGACGTCGCAGCCACCGCCGATGGTCGTCACACCGGCCGGCTACTGGACCGATGGCACCGAACACGCGCACAACGTCGACGCCTCCGGCAGAGTCCAGTTGCCCTACCCCACTTGGCAGCCGACCATCGACCAGGACGACACGGCCAAGTGCTACAGGAGGTTCTTCGTTGGCAGGGTACGTTGCCATCGATAAGAGTTGAAGCTCGCTTTAGCGATTTACAGTACGCGACGAATAATTTCTGCGTGATTCATTGAATTCGTGTACGTTTTTTATCCTGAAATACAATTACCACTATCACGTGGAAACGTTTTTTTCTCAGATCGTAACGTGTTGCTGCTCGTCAAGCTCATAATACGTTATTGACTCGATACACAATCGTGTCGTTCTTTTTTTTTCTCTCTCTCGATCGTGGAGGCCTCGGGACAATCATGTTATATCGTTTCACTATTATACCCAAGAATGTAATACATCCAATCGACGGCGACAAGTCGAGTATGTGTCGTTACCCGAGGAATATGTGCAGTTTATATGTTTTTTGCAGACGGTACGATGCTGGTACAATTTTCGAAAGGTGCACGCTCGACATTGAACTTTGAAAATGTTCTCGCGCGACCATTTCCGGACGAGTTAAGGATTGTCTCGCAGGATCGCTGGCAGAGACTCGTACATTTTTGCAGAGCAGCAGGGCGTGGGAGTGGGAATATTCTCACGTCTGCAGAAAAGTGCACGTTGTAGTGGTGCCGCTAACATACATTTGAAATTGCCTGCGCGTCTAATCGAGCTGTCGTTCAGAGCTTTTTCCAAATTTCGCTTTCTTTAAATAAAGAAAAAAACATATATTAAAATGCTATTCTTAGCTGTCCGTCGAGTCGCGCAGCGATACATTTAACGGCAACACATTTGCAAAATTATCCAGGCGATACCGCGAGGCTTTGCTTGTGCTATTACGCAAGCATGTGCGAACAAAATGTCGGAGCTGAAAACTCTCTATATCTCGCCACGGTATTTTTTTTCCACCCGACGAAACGTTTATTCTCATGAGGTCTTGAAAACTCGCTTGCGAACTCGCGGCTTTTTCGAGCCGGCCAACCAACGCATTGGCGAGAGAGAAAAAGAGTAACTCGAGCCTAATATACATTATACATACATACATACGTAGGATATATACACAAGTACTCATACACACTTGGCTGGAACATTATCGATTCGCTGTAACTTTATATCCTGGACGCGCGCGCGCGCGACCAACGATTGCGTACACAAGATACATTAAATTCGTCTCGTCTTCTTGAGTAGTTGCATAATGTACCCCCTCGTCGATCGATCGATCCTTCGCGCTGTATAATGCTTACGTCTTTTTCTACTTTTTTTTTTAATTATCGCTCTGAGAGCAAGTGGCTACTGCAACTTGTACGTTAATGCGATGAGAGGCAACAGCATCAGCAGCAGCACGTGTGCAGCGCGCGATGATCGAGTTTCGCACTTTTTACACTCGATTAGATTCTCTCAGCTGTACATAAAGTCGATATTTTCATGCATGATTTATAAGCGCCCGGCGAAACGTTAGAAGCTATAAGTGCTCGAGACTATACGCTTCTATTATGAAGATGATTAAAAAAAAAAAGTTTTGTCGATAAAAGAAAAAAGTAGTCGGGCGCGCGTTTCGAACCCAAGTTTCGCCCCTCGGACGACTTGTCACATTATCTGAGGCAGGCTCTAATTGAGAACAAGCTTAAATATTTTCACTCAAAGCTTTATTCGCTCATCGACGCGGTAAAAGAAAAAAAACAGTCACCGTCGTCAGATCGACATGTATGACTTTTATATATATACGTCCGTCGACGCGTAAGCGATGAAACGAATCCGCGCGACGATGGAAATCGTCTAGTTACATCTTCAATCGATTCTCCAAAGCTGCAAAAATTTCTTAGCTCTTATTTTTAACGACTTATACGCATACATACATATACGGAGGTGCACCATTGTGCAACGGCGATCGAAGGAGTAAAAAATTTTCGAGCCAGCTTTGCGCGTCTTATCGTGAAAATGTCGTTGCACGTTTTTTTTTCTTTTCTACATGCACCTCGGCTCGTTATCGTACCTGTTATAGCTATATAAGAACTTCCGTTAAGATTATTACTCCGAGCTAGGGTACATTGCGTGCACGTTGAAAAAAAGAAAGAGAAAAAAAGAACAAGGAAAAAAGGAGGGAACGATTCATCATAACGACGCGGACATGCTCGTGAAAAAGTATATGCATATAGTGCTCAACTGGCTAGCACACAGCTGTACGATAAATAAAGAGAGAGAAAAAGAGAGAAAGCACAGTCACATACATGATCAGCGTATATGCGATCTGGCTCGTTTGTTAATTCGCGCAGTTACGAGAAGTGTAGGCTTACGTAATCGATATATAATAATACTTTTCTCGTGTTTATGAGACGCTCGCGCACAATATTATTGTATACATGTATGTTTTTCATATGAGCGAGCCGACCTCGTCGTGTCGCGGCTGTTTGCATAAACGCGCGCGCGGCTGCGTGCAGACGAAAAAATGTGTTAAACCAGCGGATTATTAAAGTCAATTTGTGCAGTGATACATATTTGCTCAGGGCACGGCGGTGGCGGCGGCTCGAGCCTCAAATGAGTACACTCTCAATTTACGCACGCACACACAGTCGCGCGCGCAACCTTATTCGGGTTATCGAGATCGTAAATCTATATGAAAAGGGATACGCCATAATAATGCCTGCGCCCGTACTATATTGAGCCTCGATCGCGCTCGGTCGTTGCGAGCAGCGATAAATAGCCATATTTCCTAGCGATGAATCATGCCCAGCTCTAATTTCATATTTTCTCGTTTGCAGGAACACATGAATCTGGTGGGACGCGACTCGGAGAACGGACCGGTGCTGGTGTCGATAAAGGCCGAGAGCGTCGCCGGACAGGAGCATTGGCGGGTGCTGCTGCGCCTCCGCGCCGGCACGTCGCACGAGCTGGTGCCAGCTGCCACCTTGGGGCCCAATCCGTCGCCCGTCAAGATGGTCAAGGTAAGATTCCAGCGCTTATGTTCTGTTGAGCGCCCCTGCGCTCCGAGCCCTCCTGCACCTATTATAAATATACGCGCATCTCAATTGATAAGCATCTGCTCATCGAGCGTGCAAGAAAATATATAAGCAACGAGTGGCCATTACACCGCGTTAATCTTCCTATTCACGCTCCGGAAAAAAAGAGATTATGCAGCCGCTTTTCGGTTGCGTACTTATAGCAAGCCTTGAAATACGCACTCACTCTCCTCCCTCCTCGTAACGCACATGTAGTATGAAAAAACAAGGGGAAATTGTATAGTTTCTCGAAATTTTGCTAAAGTAATTAAAATTAAAATCTTTGTACTTGCTCGGGCTGTACTCGCTAAAGAAACGTTCGAGAGGAAGAATAAATAAACGTTTAATTATTTCGTTTTATGCACGACTGTTGTCAAAAGCTGTCGCGCGCGCGCGCAGCGGCAGTAGCTCTCTCTTTCTCTCTTCGACGTGGGCACGGACGACGTTATTTAATCCAATTAAGTTAATCTTTGCGAGTCGCTCGCTTTGTCCGCTTTATTTTGTCGTTTCGAGCTCTTTGTTTTTTTCTCTTCAAAATCAGCTAATTAAGCGCGTCAACTCATTTTCGCAAATGACAATTGAGTTTGGTGGATGAAAAAATATACTCCGTATACCCGTTGAAATTTGTTCAAGTTTGCTTTAACCGTAACGTTGTTCGCTCGTATGAACAAAACAGCATAAATAATTCAACTTGTTGTTTATTTATAATATCAGGAATTAAAGCTGAAAAGCCCACGCACGGTCTCTTTACGTACGGCGAATTTTTGTTCTTTGTTATGATTTTTTAATTACTGTAGTTTTTCTATTCCTCGACGTCGCGCGTGCGTTCGAATTATCTCGACGAAAAAAAAGGCTGGAAAGCGATAATTACCGCGTGTACTACGCCTCTTCTGCGACTGCAACGATATTACGTAATTTACACATTTCCATCGTGCTATTCGGACAGAACTAGGATGGTCACTTATACACGCGCGCACCTCTGCAAGGGGAAAAAGAAAATCGCAATCACAGCAACTTGGAAGCTATAATGAATAATGTATATGTAGGACGGGGAAAGGCGCGCGATGAGATATATTTTTTTCTTCGAGAGGTAGGGCTCGCTCTGTAATTTCCTTGATTAGCTACTTTTTATGCTCTCGTTGCTGGGCGTGCGAGCTGTCTTTGCGCTTCTTGAAATATATGCTCTAATCCAGACGACACCCCTACGGGTTTCTGATCAGTGGAGAAGTATATAATAAAACTCGTCTGTATTGCAGGCCGTGAACGACACCCTGAACGTGGCGTCGCTGATGCCGGTGGCCTGCTCGGGCGCCGGCACCCTCATAGCGCGCTACGACGAGCACGCCCTGGTTTCGCGCTTCAAGTTCGGCGTGCTTCATCAGCGAGCGCGCCAAGTGACCGAGGAGCAGCTCTTTGGAAACCGCCAGATCACTCCGGCCTTCCAGGAGTTCCTCGACCTGCTGGGCCAGCGCATCGACCTCAAGGATCACAAGGGATATCGCGGCGGCCTGGACACCCGTCACGGACAGACCGGCGACACGGCGGTCTACGAGGTCTTCCGCGGCCGAGAGGTCCTCTTTCACGTGGCCTCGCTGCTGCCCTACAGCCCCGGCGACGCCCAGCAGCTGCAGCGCAAGCGACACATCGGCAACGACATCGTCGCCGTCATATTCCAGGAGGAGGCGACGCCCTTCAGCCCCGACATGATAGCCAGCCACTTTTTGCACGCCTTCATCGTTGTCCAGCCGATCGATCCTTGTACGCCGAACACAAGGTGAGGCATCGATATGCGACCCGAATAGCTTATATTTTGACACAGACGCCTAGAATGTTTTTTTTCCTAACGCTTCGTGTATTTTGCATTTAGGTACAAGGTGAGCATCACAGCTCGAGACGACGTGCCATGGTTCGGACCGCAGTTGCCGACACCGTCGGTCTTCATGAGAGGCGTCGAGTTCAAAGAGTTTCTCCTGACAAAGCTGGTGAATGCCGAGAACGCCGCTTACAAGGCCGAGAAGTTCTCCAAATTGGAGCTGCGAACGCGATCGGCGCTCCTGGAGTCCTTGAGCGAGGAGCTGCAGCAGAAGACCAACGAGTTTCTCGGTGTCAACAGTATTCAACAGACGAACAACGTTGCCGTTCCGGTCAGTCCGACGACCAGCGACGTCTCGGCCTCGGGCTCGAGCGGCTCGCGCTTCATCGACACGGTGCGCAAGGCCCTCATATCCCGGGTGCGCAACGCCTCGACCGAGAGCGTACCCCAGCAGTTGTCCAAGAAGAGTCAGCCACTGGAACCGAGCCCACCGAGCAATCGACAATCTACCGGCGGTAAATTGAGCAAAAGAAATACGGCCAGTAACAATGTTGAGCCGAGCAGTCCGCTGGGGTCACCGGAACTCACGATTAGAAGGTGGGTACTTTGCTTACATTCAATTTGTAAAAATTTACGTTGCCCAACTTTGTATATATAATAAATTATTCCATTTTACAATTCTGATTTGCCTCCAACAGGGATTCCGACCGTAATAGTCCAAGCTTGGGCAGTCAAGACAGCAGCCTATCGAATACCGACAATCAAGACAGCAGCAGCCTGACTACCGTCCACCAAGACATCGGCGAGGTCGATAAGCGTGAAACGGCTTCGCTAAACGGCGCCGACTGCAGTAACAGCAGCAGCACTCAGTCAACCATGATAATGGACAAGTCGAGACTGTTGATAAGCCACGATATCAACTATCATCACCACCATCATCGTCGTCAGCGTCAATCACAACTGCAGTTGCAGCAGGACCCGAGCCAGCAGCAACAGCAACAACAGCGAGTCATATCCGAGAGCGATGACAGCTCGCTCAACAGCGAGCTAGAACTCGACCAAGTTGCGTATCCTGACAGCGACACGGGTCTAGAGAGCATAAGTTCGGCCGATACGACACATCATCACGAGAGCAAGAGCAAAGAGGCTGGTTTAGCCGTAAGCAGTACGGCTACTTGCGTCGAGGCCGAGAATCTCAGACAGGAAGTTACAAGACTCAAATGTGACAAGCTGGACTTGTTGAGACAGAATGTGGTAGGTTTTGCATGTCTTTGATTGCTGCCACCTCCTCCGCTCTTTTATATTGCTTACACTTCGTTTTACTTACAGTCGTGTCAACGAGACATAAAGCGTCTGCGAGAGAAGGAGCTGCAGCTGCAGTCGGATCTGGCCGATGCCACGAAAGAAATTTTACGACTAAGAGCTATGCTTAAGGATTGCGGAAGTATAACACATGACAACAATAATCAGCAGTCCTCGACGGTATGAGAAAAGGAACTATGGGTTGCTCTTCCTGCCTCGGACGAGCAGCCTTGATGATTATTATTTACGTATAAGAAAAAAATAAGACATCTATATCTATTGTTATCCGTACGTAGAAGAGAATCGTTCGAAAACTCTGTCTTCTGAATATTAAACACTTCGCCACGATATTCGATTTGCGGAATCGAAATGCGAAAATTTTCTGTGACTGTGAGAGTATACATACACACGCATATATATGTATAGAACCTATTATATATACTACGTGTAGCCGAACTTGAACGAGCAAGTTGTATTTGGAAAGTATTGTGTATAGATGATGATAATATTTATATTGTTAATAAGTTTATCCCTCTTTTCTTGTAGTCAATGTATAGAAAAGCAAAAGAAAGGAAGATAACACAAAATCTAAGTTAACGTAGAATAACGAGAAAAACGGTTTTGAGAGTTTTTTAGATATTACAAGAAAAAAGAGCACGATAATATTCTTATGTATGTTAAGTAGCTAGTTAAACATGCACGTACACGACTCAGTTTCTTAGCAGGTATAACTAATCGTAAGATTATTTATGCGCTACTGCTTATTTAGCGTTTTTCTTTCTATTTTAATTTTCATATATACTGTCTAAGATAATCATCATTTTTTATAAGTATTAGTACAATTGTGTTACCTAACTTACTTTTGCTATTTTATTATTAACTTTTTTGATCATTCGCGCAGCGTACAGATTTATGTAAGACATGCGATTTTAGGCAGGATCTATTATATTTAATAACATAATATATGCATGTAAAACAATCGTTACGTGAAAAAAGAACTAAAAATTTCATCTCAATGTAATATGCATGTGTGTTGTTACATGGTATAAAAACTAATCGTGATGTATAGAGCACTGCATATTATGCAATTAGTATTTCTTAGCGCGTGTCGCTAATATTGGCTTTACCAAATTTCTTAGTTCATAAGTTCTATGAAGATAGTTATTGTAGAAATATGTGTCTTAGAGAGAGAAAAATATTGTTCTATCAGTCATTATTGTGAAATTTGTTTTTAAAAAATTTTTAGGTCGCTAATTTACGATATTAATATATATTTTTAGTAAAGTTCATTTTTAAACATCAAGCATTATTAGTTTAAGTATTCTTGCTTGAATATTTTTCTACACTCATAATCACTTTTTGTCACACTCCATTAACTTTCGTTCATTATTCTATATTGCTATGCATTTTAATCGATCTTTAAAATTTTTTTAAAATGCTAAATAGTATTTTCTACCTGTAGAAATATTTAATAAAATATATTTGTACATAAATTTCTAACGTGTAGTCGAACACCAAACCGAATTCATCGCGAACTAACTCACGCATAACAAATACCAAAGTTTATTTCATTAGGAAATGTTGCTCTTTAATTTCTACATTCCCAACTTGTCTTGAGACTTGAGTGCTATTCTAATGCTAAAAAAAACTCGGTGCACAAGCAGTTAGCGCACAATTGTTGTGAGAAAAAACAAATGCTGTAAACAAGTTCATCAAAAAGGATACAAGTACAAGTTGTACATTATTTGACATTTTAATTTAAAAAAATTTAAATAGAGCTATGACAATGACAAAAAAACGAATGATGAATGAAAATACACAACTTTTTCTATGTCCACCACTGCCTATGCATTGTAAAATTTTATGCAAAAACTTTATTACAACACTACATAATATATTTTGTATGGATTTACAGATATATAATTGACATTTCTGACAAACTGGACGTTCATTTATTCTCGTGATTTTTGGAAAATTAAGAATTTATGTGTGAAAACTTGTGCGCGTGATGTTCTTGAGAAATAAACTATTTTTCTGTCTCAAAAATGCCAATTATTAAAAAGACTCGAAAAAACAAAGTAACCGATTATTTTTTTAACAGAATAACGGAATAAGTGTAAATAGCAAAATGCAAAGGTGAGATGTTGAAAATGGAACAAAATTGAGCACGCTTTGCTATGTTAAACGTCTTGTGCCACATATCGCCGAGGTCTTAATCGTTATTTATTGAGAAATAATGTAAACAGAAAAAATTAAACAATAGATGGTCTATGATGAATGTATATAGTAGGTTATAAACTGACCACTCCTAGTGTGATTTCTACTTTGGCCTTGAAAAATTGATGATGGAAGTATAAAAATTGAAAAATCTATTTCGATGTTGCAAAAAAATTTCAAATTTGTGGAGATAAAAAGATTATGAATACTGTGTATTATTGATAAAGCAGATTATTGTGACTATATGAATTAACTTATATAATATATATAAATATATATTTTATATTAACAAAAATACATATATGTACAAAATTATGAAATTCAAACGATTGAATGACCGTTACGCCATTTCCCACACTCTCTATGAGCAACAAAAAAATGAAACAACTCAAAATCGGCATACATGTAATATCAGTAATTTGAATGTTAACAAGTCTGGCATAAATGTTCATACTCTTTGTTCTTAGTTCAATGCACGACTACTCTATGGCGAAAAAAATAAGTAATAAAGTTCGTCTATAAAGAAGACGCGACGAATCTATTTATTTCCTTCCATATTATATAATAGTTAAATGATTCTGATCCCAACAACTTCTTTTCGTAATTGAACTATTATTTATAGTCTAACAGTCTATAGTAAAGCATTACCGATTTGTAGGAGCTGCTTATTGACATTTAATTTGTATTCATATTTTTTTTACGAATGTATAACTCAAGATCAATGTCATTCTGTAGTGGATGAGAGTTTATCTGTACATTTATCCTTCTCGGTCTTATCATGTTGCGCTTCAGACATCTATCGACTCGTTCAGTTTTAGTCGACGTGATTATTTTATTTTATTTTTTTATCACTAGTAGGGTGTTAAGGATTACAAGAAGAAATAGATTATTTTAAACATTTTTCTCAATAAAGTGGTAAGTAATTGTTGTTCAATTTTTCTTTTACTTATTTCGATTACAGCGCTCATTGTGTAGCAAAAATAGATTCTGGGAAAATTTTAAGACGTTATTAATGCAACAATTATTATGATTCTTACACTGACATAAATTTTAACGTTTTGGTTTTTGTTTCATAATAGTTAAGAAAATGAACAAGTTGATGCAATTTTTGGACTTTAGCCGCCAAGCAAATAAGTCTTAAATCTTTATTCATTAGATGCTTGAAAATCGATTCGCAGCAAAGAATCGGCAACTGGTAACACGTCAGCTTCAAGAAGGAATCCATTGCCGGAAAAATCCTCTCGATATTTTTGACACATTTGCAAAGAACAAGCCTGAATATACCCTTCTGGGAGCTCATACAATTTTTTCGAGCAAGCGAACTCGAAGTATTCCGTGTAATGAGAGTCGTTTCTACGCTTCTTCGGAGTTTAGCCGGGTCAGGTCGTAGAGTGACAGACTTGGAGTGATCACTATCTCCTTACCTTTTCTCACGAACTCCTCGTTATCATAACAACATTTTACAATATCCGTCGATTTCTCCAACAATTTGTACTTTGCGAAAAATGTCATGATATTTATTCGTCGCTTTGGTCCATTCTGTAGCCTCTTCTCGAAATTTTCAATGATAATGAGAGCGGCAGACGCTAGTCTGAGTTTTAAATTATGCTCATTTTTTCCAATCAAAAGGTATGGACTTTGTAATGACCCAGTCACAGGGGTCATAGCATCCCTACGAGTAGATAAAACACCGGGGCAGCAAACCAGCCCGGTGCAACACCAAGTCCCGAACGGGCATGCTAGTGTACGGCCGCACATATACACCGCGGCACGTAATTGTATGAACGCGCATACAGATAAGTACAACGAACGTCAGTGCGCGCCTGCACACGTACACCACGGCGCGCACCGATGTAAGTGCGCACACGGACAGAGCCGTGAACGCTAGTGTGCGACTGCACACGTACACCGCAGCACGCACTGGTGTGAGTGCGCACACGGACAGAGCCGTGAACGCTAGTGTGCGACGGCACACGTACGCCGCAGCACGCACTGGTGTGAGTGCGCACACGGATAGAGCAGCAAACGTTAGTGTGCGCCCACTCACGTACGCCGCGGTACGCACTGGTGTGAGTGCGCACACGCGTGGAGCGGCAAGAGCTTGTGGGAAGCATAGCTCGCGCTTGCAAGCTACAAGTCGAAATTTATGATGCCTCCGTCGCCAAAAAGGCGATGGGATAACCGGCTCGGGCAGGAAACGGGATGTTGGCAAAAATCAGGTCACAACTTGCGAGCAAAGAAACTAAGGAAACGGCTCAAGCATCCGCTAAAAATCCCAGACACGACGGATGGGAAAAAACGCGCAGCCCGCAAGCTCTAGAGGACACATAAAGTTCACGGTGACCCTAGCTCAAACAAAGAGGGTACGGCAGCAACAAACAGTATATAAACCGAGACTCAGAGAGTCTCGGGGCCAGTTATCGTTCTCGGTTCAAAGCGTATACATCGACGCTCGTCGGCTCAGTGTTCATTCTCGGTTCGAAGCGTGTACGTCGACGCTCGGTCTTCACATACACCTTTACTTCTCGAGTCAAAGTTCACAGTTTACGTGAAAGCCAGCCTGTTGCTCGGCTCCGCAGATAAAATCAGTGCGAGATAGTAATACGAAAAGTACGCGAGCCCGTGCACCTGCAACCACCGACGCCGCCCAGCACGCTGACACCGTGCCGGCTTTATCGACACCGAGAACACCCTCATCGACACCGAGGACACCCTCGTCGACGCCGATCTCCTCGACGCCGATCTCGCCGACGCCGATTACCCTCACTGACGCCGCACCAGCCGAGGCCAGACCGTCACGGGCCCGCCCTACAACAGACAGCACACCGACGCCTTCAGCCACCGCACCGATCGTCGCCGCCGAAGAGAAGAACACCGGTACATAGTAAGCAACATTTATGTAACTAGGGTTAAGGTTAAATAAACAGTCTCTTGTGAAATTCTGTGTTATCCTTCCTTCATCTCACCCTACCCCAGAGACAAACGCGAGTAGAGTCGAGTCATTAGCTTTCAGTCAGCTGGCATATTTTATTAATAATAAATAGATGGTGGCAAACTAGCCATCACAACTGGTGCCATCGGCCACGACCCGATTGAACTTACCGATTGCAAACAAACAACACTAATGTCTCTGAGTGGGTGTGAATGAGGAGATGGATACACAATGATTAGTGACGATAAAAGGAAAAAGGACGAAATAGAAGCAGGAAACTTACTAGTACAGTTAACCGAATTAGATCGTAAATTGAAAAGCAAAACAGACAAAGGAAATTTAGGAGTGCTTAACAAAATAAGGGGTGAAATAAAAGATATTAAGGATCAATTAAAAAAGTATGAGTACTTAAACATTGACCTCGAAAAACACCAAGTAAATCTCAGCCGCTCGACCAAATCTATACACGAAAACGCGACTTTAATAAATCAACAGACACCGTGTTCAAGCAAAATTTCAAATCACAGCACACCGCGAATTACTGTAGACCAAATCGAAGAGGCGGTCGAATCATTTATCGAGAGTTTTAGACTTGAGTTAGACGAAACCGAAGCGGGGGAGATCGAGAAACAAAATATTAAAGAACAATTACAAGAGACATTAGTTAAATACGAACAAACGCAGGAAGAACCAGTGGTTCAAGACGGGTTTTTTGGCAAGTGTTATAACAAATTTTTAGATTTTATAAACGTGAAGCGCGAGGAAAATACGACACTATTCGAGACGGTAATTCAAGCACCCGAAAACCCACCGCGAAGAAATCTAACCCTCCGATTTTATAACCCAGAAGAAGACGAAGAAGTAGAGAATTACAACATGGCCGTTCGCAGGGGCCCTTCATTCAAAGATATTGTACAACTAGTACCAAGCTTTTCCGGGCGCGATAAAGACGAGGCTATCAAATTTGTTAAGGGATGTAGACTCGCGGAAGAGTTGCTTGAAGAAAATCAAAAAGCAGATTTCCTCAAATTCATTAAAGTAAAACTCTCAGGTGTAGCACTCGAATGCATTAGCCCGACAGCACTAGAGTCAATTACGGCCCTTACAGAATTCGTCGAGAAAAATTTCGGTACATATAAATTATTTTTTGAATGCTATGGGGACTTATCGAAGATAAAGCAGGGAAGCAAAGAGGGGGTATTAACTTTTTACGCGCGACTAAAAGATTTGGAAAGAGAAATAACAGCCGCAGCACGGCGCGACAACAAATATGACGCGGTCTTCGAAGCAAGCCTACAGGCCGATTTATTAACTGCCTTCAAAAGAGGGCTAAGGTGGGAAATAAAAGCACGTCTAAATGCCAATACCCTCGAGGAAGCACGCGACGAAGCAGTTAGAATAGAGCGGGAGGACGGGTTCGACGCGGATAGAGATGCTAGAAGCGCATACAAACCTAAAAGAGCATGCTGTACGATTTGCGATTCGCGAGAACACTCGACTATCGATTGCGACTCCCTAGCATCATTGCATAAAACAAAATCCGACAAATGCAGCTACTGCCACAGCCCCGATCACTACCTGTCGAATTGCATGAAGTTTACGGTCGACACAAAAGAGAAAGACAGAGAAAATTGCAGTCATTGCGGAAGCACTGAACACCATGTAAACAATTGCATGAAATTCGCGCAAAGAGATAAAGACGCAGTAAAGAAAGAAAAAGAACCGGAAGTGATTACAATCAACCACATTAGCGCGCCGACATGCACAGCGTGCTCAAATAAGGGACACACTGCAAGTGCCTGTAACGATTTTTTGAGTGTCATGAGAAATCTAATGAATAATAATAACAATAACAATGATAATTACAACAACGAATTCGGGATAAACGCAATTAATCTCGCAAGCACTATTACATGCGGGTACTGCGCAAGGAAAGGGCACCCAGCAAGCAACTGCAACGATCTCCGTAATATGATGCAAGGGTTTGCTAACAGAAATAACCAGTTCAGCAATTATAATAGCAGAGGTAATAATAATAACAACTATAGGGGAGGAAATAACAACAACGGCTTCAATAGCTACGGAAATGGCAATAGTAATTACAATCGGAACAACAATCCAGGCAATGGCCCACCAAATGAAGGACGAAAGTGTTACAACTGCAATAGGTTCGGGCACATATCGCGAGATTGCCGAATGCCACGAAGGGACCAGGGAAACGATCAATCCCGTTCTTCGCAGGGGACAGAAGGACAGGGTTACAGGGGCCCCAACAACAGCAACAACGGCCGAGACAATGGCAACACAAACCGGAACTAAGCAATGAGCCAATTTACCATATAAACGCAAGAAACCCTTCGCCTACCATAGTAATAACAGCAAATGAACTTAATAATCCGATCGAGTTGATGTTAGACACCGGCGCCGCTGTGAGCGTCATTAAAAATTCGGAAATTTCAAGAGAAGCAACAGTAAACTTCAATAAAACAATCCTTTTACGCGGAATTACGAACAAAACAATAAGATCTATTGGAGAGACAGTCATCTGTCTAAATAACGAAATACCAATAACCTTTCAAGTAGTTGACAGTGAC